AAGAAAATTGCCTTTCTGAAACCTGACATATGAAAAGCCAAAAAAGGAATTTTTGTTTGCTTGTTTTAATTTTTTTGTTTTGATTTAGTAATTTCAGGATAATTAGCTGTTATGTGTGTTGTACAATGTCAGTGTTGCACTGTGTGGGCGTCTGCCTTCTCCATAAACCCAGGGCCCACAGGTGATGGTCACAGACACGGTCCTGTCCTTCATCTCCTAGTGCTCAGGTATTGTAGCCTCTCTCACCACACTGCTCCCTCCCCATCCTTGCTGCTCAGGGAGTCCAGCACTGCAGTCTTCCCTGAGCATCAAGCCCATGGCTCTAGCAAGCCCCTTGGATCTTCATTTTCCTGGGGCATTACCCTAGCAAGCAGCCTTGGGCTTTTAAGTCTGAATTCTCGTCTCCTTGGTGTGCACCAGCAGCTGGTGAAGTGCCACCCACTTACACAGAATGCTGAATCTCCCTTCAGGAGATGTGAACCAGAAAACCTGCCGCCTCCTTTTGGCCAGGCTTTCCATACCTGAAACAAAGTTGCTGTTGAAAGCTGAGGCTGGAGTGGTGTCAAGGCAAAAAAAAAAAGCCATATCCTGGAAAAGCAGAGAAGTCTAGTTTTTCAGGTAACTGAAATAATGCTTGGGGTAGAACTAGTGGAATCCTCCTTTCATGTCCAGGAAGGTGGTGGGTTTCATGAACTCTCTAGAAACCAAGGGTGTGTCCCCCGAAGTCATACTACCAATAAACAAGACAATACTATAGTCATTCTTAGCACTACCAGGAGAAGTTTACAGAACTTCAGAATGGCTCAATTCATAGCAGTCATCTTCTAACAACTTGGGTTTGAAACCTTAACATGTTGAACTTGCATGTCATTGTGTCCTGATAGTGTTTTAAATGAGTAGCTGCTGTTTACAGCTATAATCATTACACTAGTTTTGTGAACAGTTTTGTTTCTGAAGTGGCAGAGCAGTATTCTTTTCTGAAGCTTAAAATGAACAAACATGGTGTTAAATGATAATGGCAATGATGTTAAACTGTTACCAGCGCAGATAGAAACAGCTTTTTGGGAGACTGTTGTTTTCGCTGTGTGTGGTACTCCTACTACACACATTTTTAGGAAAAGAAATCAACTGTCTAGTTCTACAGGATGTTATGCAATTTCTTTCAGAAAGAGAGGCAACTGCGCTTTCTTTTTCCGCGTGCTTGCTCATCCATGTTCCTCAGGTGTCATCATACATCTCCCTCCTACTTTTCCCAGTCCTTGCCGCGCTTCTTGTTTTCTGGCATTTTACTGTGAATGATGATGATTTATAGAGGCAGTGTTTTGAGACAATGTTCTCTGTGATATACCAGTACATAGGACTTACAGAATGTCTATTTAGAAAGTAATTAAAAGCCATAATGTTCATTTTCTGATCTTGAATTTCTCATGCCTTATCAATTGCTTTTATTTCAACCTAGTAAATCATGCAAGCCTATCTCTTCATATGAAAGTACCTTCAGATTTTTAACTAGTAGTCACTTTCCTGTCAATCTAAGAAGTTCTGCCCTGTGTTGCAGGACAGGAGACAAAATCAGGGTTAGGCAATAGTTACTTAGCAAAGATGAAATAATTCTAGCCAGATAAAATAATATTTATTTTTGCCATAGACCCAAGTTAACTCATCCCCTTCATTTCCAATCCTGATTCATTAGTCAACAGAATTAGGGCAGCATGACCCTTCTACCCAAATAAATTCATGGATAAGGCACTACTGTTATTAAATTGTAATATTTGTTGCCTGCCCTTATTCTGCTTGTATACTAATGAGAAGAGAAGGAAGAATATAATTTTCTTAAGCTGTTCTCTTCTTATTGAATGGAAACTTTGTAATGCTTTTAAGTAAGAGGTGAAAATAACAGTGCCACTGATTGCTGTAAATGATGATATGATTATTTTCGCGCCCCCCC